TTTAACAACAAAAAAAGTTTTTATCAATCTAGCAAATGTATAAATCAAAATGGCATTTTTGAAAACGTTTTCCAAATTGTTCCACAATTTGATTCCCTGAAAGGAAGTGCATATCTGTTCATTTTTGTTCTAATTTTTGGTTTGAGAAACATTTAAATTCCTTTCAAATTATATATGCTATCTCTTTCACAAAAAGGTGATTGTATGTTAAAGGCAGTACATTCTTATGAGCTTTATACATAAGTAACAAAATCCTATACTAACTCATCAAACTTTAAAAGCCCCAACTGACATTCAGCTGCTACAAAACATTTAAATCAATTGTTTTGAGTCATGTTTGGGTCAACTTGAATGATTTTTGCAAAGCTTATTTTAGAGTTGAATTTTAAAAATATCTTCATTTTAAAGCCCTTGAATACAATTTTACTGACGACTATACTTTTCTTCAGTGAGGACATTCTAAGTAGTGCTGCTAGAAGGAAAAGTAGATTTCTGAAGTTTACTGTATGAAAACAGCAGATAATATGAAAGGCAGTACTGAACATGTGTTAGTAAGAACACAAAGCTACAAAGGTTGTTTTATAATCAGTTAGTTGATATACTCAACCAAACTTTAAAAAAAAACACAAATAATATTTAATTGCTTCTAGTTGTTACCATAAGAGTATTATTTGTAAAACTGTAGAGTGGCTTGTTAACAAGCAAATTACCTCACACGCTTGAGTTTTCTCAAAGACAAATTCAAACTTTTCTTTTTCTTTTTGTAACATCATCATCAAATGGTTTCATCTCAAAGTATTTCTGATGACAATGATCTGAATGCCATAGGTTTGCCAAGGCAGGGACAAGATCTTCCATAATAAAACAAATAATAATAAATTAGTTTTCTGCTTGGCCTTCAGAGGAGCAGGACTGCTTTTGCTTTTTCAAACTCTTTTTTCACCTTCCATCTGAAACTAAAGGAATTATGGATTTGGTCAGCTGGACTCTGAATGAAATAGTCATTATCATTTTTTTTCCACACTTGGAATGAGGGGAACGTGGCTGTCTGGGTGGAATGGTTGCTGCTGGATTTGTCTGATTCCTGGGGCTGGAATCTGATATGCCAGCACCACTTTCCATCGAAGACATGGAAGATCATTATTTATTTGGATTGTGATAACTGGATTCCTGCTGATCGTGGAGGAGGGTTCCAGATTTATCGAAAAGTGAAAGCGACCCTGACAGTGGTTTGGGCTTTTGAGGAGCTGTCAGGCACACTTGAAGGATTCTGCCAGGCTGGTAGCACACAGACTCTCAGCTGGGGGAAAAATTCGCAAACTGGTTGTTATTCTGGCGAGGATCAGCTCAGGAGAAACCCTTCAGCGTGTATGGACCACATCTGGGTGAGCTTCGATCGGTGAGAGGCGAGGAAGACCTCAACTTCGGCTGATTGGCTTTTTTTTCGCCGCCTCAGAGTTTGCAGTAAAGACACTTTAAAAGGAGCAGGAAATTCAAGGCTGCTTTGTTCCAAAACAATTAGATTATCTGTCTGGCTCCCAGCGGCACGGCCTTCAGGGCAGTGCTTATCTTAACCTCCCCAGGATGAAATGTCAACTAAGATATGGGTTCACTCCCACCCCCATCACCTGTGTTGGACCCAGCCATGGAACTCAGCTGGATGAGGAGGAGGAAAATTTCTGAACTCTAGTGAACTGAGTAACTGAATAACATCATGTGACTCTGGATGGGCCCAGGGCTGGGCCCAGTACGGACACCCCCTTCCCTCAACGTCACCTACTCATCTGAACCCGCCCCATATTACCTCCCTGTGGTGGCACGATTTACCAAGAATGCAGAAACACGTTGGAATAAATGCGCAGAAAGTCTGCGTGTATGGTCGTAAAATGATTTATTGTGAGCAACAACAGAGCAGAAGTCAATCAGCGAAGTCTGTCAAGTTGTGGCTGCTCRTCAGCAGAGAGCAGCCGATAAAATAACTTCCTGTGACATGCTTACAACCAATCACAGTTCGCCAACTGTGAACCATCTAACCAATGACAGGGCTGTCAGCCCGGRAACACCTTATCAAAATAAAAGAGGTCATGCATTGCTGGAGTCTTGAAGTCTGGGCCGATAGAGTAAAATAGCCGAAACTAGTTATCATGAGATATGATTACTGGGCAGTGTCAAGGTAGAACAGATATAAATAATTAGTCCATAACACTCCCCTTTATGTGTTATC